ACTGCTGTTCCTGAAACCACGCTTTCTTTCTTTGCGTGCACATTTGGGCGGTGTTATGCAAATCTTCGCACATCGTGAGTAGATATGTGGGGGCGTGTTAGAACGAGCCGTTTTCGGTAGGCGTGGCTGACTCTTAACTTTTATAAAGAATATCTCTTTGGATTTGAGACTTTAGTCTTTGCAACTTTACAGATCTTCTTTATGCACCAAGAGCTTGTAACACTCCAAAGAGAAAGGAAAAATTGAAATTGCATCATATGACCCCTTTAAAAGAGTTAATTTGCCTCTGATGTAAAAATGTTAATACGCACAAACCAGAAGAAGAAATGTCATAAGATCATACCATCAAATGGAAACCATAGGGTCAGGAAAGTGATGAGAGGTCAGAAAAGTTGACCATTCAAACCAATGGTCAACTTTTAAAGCGACTCCACCTCTCAGACAATTACTTCCAATTGGCCTCTGATTAACCTTACATCCACCTTCTTAGCTTAGACTTAGCCACTTAAAAGGCTCTCATACCATTCCAGTGGGCTGGATAGATGGTTTACCATCTTTTCATGGGCTGCCCGAGCATAGCAGGGCTTGTGTACTTGTTTCCCCTCCTCAGCTGGTGTCAGTGTAAGACTGTTGACACACATTTCCCATGATGCCACCATCATTTATATGCCAGTGCACTCTGAACTGCTCTGCCTCATTTGTCTTCCCTATATCTAATATATGCAGTTAAGCAGTTATTCTATAGAAATGTAAATGGTGTATCGAATGGTGGTTTCCATTTCAGTAGTTAATTCCGCAGTTCAGTAATATGTGAGGACATGCGGATGAGGTCACTATGTCTGATTGAAAATTTCAGCTCATCTGCTCCTTGCTGTATTGCTCATTTTAAGGAGCTGACATTATCTAGCCTAAGACTGTGTAATCTCTGTCTGTCTGGCAATTATAATTTGAATTCTCAGAAGACATCTCTGTAAGGGCCCTCCAGACTAAGATTCAACTAAAGTCTACTATAAAAATGCTGCAGAGACCTCTGGGTTCTTAACTGACGTCCACTCAATCAGAGGAACTGCAGTCTAGAAGTGCTGCCAGCCTAATCTCTGTGACTGGCAGTAAAATACTTACTCTGCCTTAGCCCACAAGGGATTAGAGACATTTCCCTAATGAACTTACAGTTAAAGCTTCTCACCCACTGGACCCAATTTGACAGAGCCCTCTTTGAAGCACCCTGGACCCTGCATATAAATTCATCAGTCTGGAAATGAGCATTGCACCAGCTCTCGAATATATATTTGCAGGACGCTTATATGTTATTTGTTTGCTGTTTTTGAGTTGGCAAGCACCTACGTGCAGGTTATATGAAGACTTGAGGCAATCATAGGTTTCTTACCAATTGTCTTGGCGTTAAATTAAATAATGCTCAAAATCAGGGTGTTAAAAAAAAAAAAAAAGTTGAGC